AGGGGTGATAAGAGTCACCAATGATGAGAGTCATTTTGTCCCATTCTGAAGGAACAAAGTGTCGGGATCAAAACTGAAGAGTTGTTCCTGTAACAGCATCAGGAGTGGTTGCAGCAATGAATCCCAGGGGAGCAGCTATTAGGAGTCCAATAAATTTCAGGAAGCACTGGATCAGTCAGGGAGCACTGGAACAGGAGCATCACAACTTCTGGCAGGAGTACTTCAGTAGGGGAATGCAGCCATTCTCCGGTCAGGTTCATCAGCAGTCATAGATGTGCAACCTAGCTTATGTTTGAGAAAAAACACTTTTTAAAAGTTATCAGAGGCTTTAACCATCAGGGTTTGGTCTCCGTGCCTGTGAGTAGAGAGAAAGACAGAGGGTAGCTCCAATACAAACGGATATCCTAGAGAGAAATGAAAAGGTGTTCCTGTTTAAAAGTCATTCCTTTCTCCTTCAGGAACCAGTGTATTCCAAGAAAAGGGTAAAAGTATTGTTAATTCAAAATATGGAGGCTTGGTGTTGTCCAATCCACAACCTGTAAAGAGAAGGATATAAGGAATGCTTTAGTGTGAACTCATTATGTGTTAAAGGAGCTAGTGGTCTTGCTGCAGGTCCTCTGATGCTGGCTCCTCTTCTTTCCTTTGTGACTTCCAGCTGAAATCAGTTTGGAGATGGTTTGGGGCTGGATTTTGAAAGGTTGTGAGTCTCTGCCAGTCTGAGATTCAACTCAGGCGGGTGAATTCGACTTCGGATGAGACGTAGTGGGACCCAAAGTCTCTCAGTGGGGTTATCATCTGTTGAAACAAAAGCATAGCCTTTTCCTCATATGAGGAGTTTCCCTGCTACCCATTCCTTGTCAACTTTAATCCAAATAGGAGAATTAATAGTTTCCTGAGCCTGTGCACCTTCTTGAAAATGCCTCTCAGATGCTGTATTGGGCTCACCTTGAGGTAAATTTAAGAAGTTTAAAGAAAACAATGTCAAGGACAAGGAATCAAGCGGGGGCATACCTCCTTTTTTGTACTTTAATAACTGTGTTTTGAGGGTTCTGTGGGCACGTTCTTGACCACTGTGGTTATACGGGATTCCAGTAGTGTGTTTAATTTGCCATTCATCACAGAAATCTTGAAAAGCTTTACTGGAATAGGCTGGGCCATTATCAGTTTTTATAGCAGAGGGAACGCCCATTACAGAAAACCATTGTAGTAGGAAGGAGCAGACTGCTTTGGTTCTCTCAGAAGACATGAGAACAACCCATAGGAAGCGAGAGTAAGTATCTATAGCTACATGGAGAAAAGGTTTCTTGGGGAAACATGTGACATGAGTCATATCCATTTGCCATAATTCATTGGTCTGTAGGCCTCGGGAATTAGCCCCAGCCACATGGGAGGTACATTGTAAAGGAGCACAAATGGAGCAAGCATGGACAATATGCCTGGCTTCCTGCATTGGGATACGATGTTGAACATGAAGATGGCGGGCATTTGTGTGTAAGACTTGGTGCTCCTCTTCAGCAGAGGTAAAAATTGGCGCCACCAAGAGATCAGCGGCTTCATTTTCTTGAGTCATAGGTCCAGGAAGACCAGACTGAGATCTTATATGAGTAATAAAAACAGGTTCAGAACGCTTCTGCAAAAGTGCTTGTAGCTGCTGAAGCAATTGTTGGACTATAGGGTTGGGGGCATTTAGAGAAGCAGTCACGATACCAGGGAAGAGACCAACCACATAAGCTGAATCAGAGACTATATTAGCAGGCCCTGGCATGTGGGAGAGTAGATAAACCAAAGTGGCAAGTTCCACTTGCTGGGCAGAGGTATAGGTAGTGTTTACTGTTGTGGTTAAAGAGGGTCCAGAAATTCCGCCTTTCCCCGAGGCAGAGCCGTCAATATAGTATACCCGAGCATCCGGGATAGATGAGGAGCGAATGATGGAGGAAATGATAAACGGAGTTCTTTTGAAAAAAATCCCAAGTTTTTCCTGCTGGATAATGGGAGGAAAGTTCTCCCGAAAAATCAGCTAAAACTCTTTGCAAAACATCACTGAGGGGCAGGATGGAGGTAATTTCTTTCACAGGGACAGGGAGAACAATGATATGAGGATCAAATCCCAGCATGGCAAGGGCTCTCAGTCTTCCTTTAATTATGTTTAGCCACTAGCATAAGGCACCAGACTCTTTGTTGTGCAAATGGAGCCATTCTAGTGCCAGAAAGCTGTGCAAGTGCAGCAGTGGGCGACTGGGGGGGGGGGTATCAAAAAGCAGGAGACACAATTTTTCTCCTGGAACAAACCTAGAAAGATGGGATTTCTGGAGTTGGTCCAGAAAAAAATTCTAATTCTTTCTGAGCTTCAGGAGTTAGCTGCCTAAGACTGTTCAGGGCGGAATCGCCTTCAAGGGTCAGGAATAGATTATGGAGGTCTGAGTTGGGAATGCCTAGAGAGGGCGGACCCAGTTAATGTTTCCTAGCAGTTTTTGAAAGTCATTAAGGGTTTTAAGTTTGTCATGGCGAATAGAAATTTTTTGAGGTCGTACAGTAGTACGCTCAAGAACATAGCCTAAATACTCATATGGAGACAGCATCTGAATTTTTTCTGTGGCTATTTGTAATCCAGCTTTGGGTAAACGAGTTATAACATCCTCATGCAATCTTTGGAGCTCTGCATCATGAGAACAAGCAAGCAAGATATCATCCATATAATGAATAACATAGGCCTGAGGAAACTTGACACAAGAAGGGCGCAAGATTAAGTCAACAAAATACTGACACGTGGTAGGGGAATTGGCCATACCTTGAGGTAGGACAGTCCATTGATATCTGTGCATAGATGCGTGATTATTAAGAGAGGGGACAGAGAATGCAAAAAGCTTATGATCATCTGGATGTATGGGAATGTTGTAAAAACAATCTTTTAAATCAATGACAATCAGTGGCCAATCCTTAGGAATGGCAGCAGGGGAAGGAAGGCCGGGCTGAAGAGCCCCCATGGGAACCATGGTGGAGTTAACATTCCGCAGATCAATCAACAGACTCCACTTTCCTGACTTCTTTTGGATAACAAAGACAGGTGAGTTCCATTTGAAAATGACGTTTCAATATGTCTCAACTTCAGTTGTTCTTCTACCAAGGATTCTAACACCCTTAGTTTTTCATTATTAAGGGACCACTGGGAGGACCACACAGGATCATGGGATTTCAACTGAATACAGAGGGGTGCTGGGTGTGAAGCCGCAGCAGCTCCAATGAAAAGAGTGGAACACTCAGAATCGAAGTCCACAGCGGGAAGTGGGATGGGAATCCTAATCTCCGCTTGCCATTGCTCAAGTAAATCTCGTCCCCATAAGTTCAGAGGTATGAGTGCTACATAGGGCTGGAAAGTGGCTGTAATGTCCTCTGGGCCAATAAACCTTAACCATCTGGCACTCTGCTGGACAGAGGAGGAAGGTATCATGCCTATTCCCTGCAAACCATAGGGTATTGCCTGCACGGCCCAGTTACAGGGCCAATATTGGGTGGAAATGATAGAGGCGTCGGCTCCTGTGTCTATCATTCCCTTAAATTTCTTTCCATGAATCTCAAGAGTTAGAAGTGGGTGGTTGCCTTCCCTCAGACGGGCAACATAGGGAATCAAAGGATTAGTACCATCAAAACCTCCCCCACTAGAAGAGTGGATAGATCTGGCACAACAGAAGGAAGTAAGAGTAGCTGAGCTATGTGCTCTCCCTTATCAAATGTCCAAACAGTAGGCACTGTGATAACGATTGTTATTTCACCAGGATAATCAGAATCAATGACCACAGTAATTGGACAGTAATTCCCTCAATAGTGGAACTGTTTCTTCCTAAGATTAGGCCTATAGTGCCTTGTGGAATTGGTCCCTTTACACCAGAATTTAATTTGTAGGGACATTGGGCAGGGGTTATAGTAACCGTATTAGGGCAGGAAATATCCAAGGCTGCGCTTCCTGCCATCACTGACTGCAGTGAGTCTACTGATTGGAGCTCTGAGACTCCTTCTCGGGGAGAGGGGCTGCAACTGGGAACATCCCCGGATTTTGTGGGGCCAGGGGTCGGCCCCCCTGCAGGTTTTCCAAATTGGGGTCAACTGCTGCATTAAAATTGAAGTGACAATCTTTGGCCCAATGGTTTCCCCTCTTACATCTGGGACATAGCCCAGGAGGGTCAAATCTGGCTCAGCAGTCCTTGGCCCAGTGATTTCCCTTCTTGCACCTGGGACAGGACCCAGGAGGTGCTTTCACAGTAGCACTGTCTGGAAGTGCCCCGTGATCTTTGTGAAAGTGGTCTGGTTCTCCAGGATTAAAACATTCTTTCTGAGCTGTTCTCTATATTGTACAGGTCTCAACAGTCAGTCCTTATCTGCATCTTATGTTTAACAGAACCAACATTCCTGCATGCTTTCAAATACCCCATAATATCTTCATTTTCTTTGAATGGCCTGGCAATCCTCATTAGCATTTTAAAAGGCCAATTGTTTAGTCAACAGCTCCTAAGTTTCCTTACACTTAACCTGCATTTCAATAGCTTCCATCAACCTCTCTATGAAATCTGCATCTGAGGTCCTCTGGACAATCTTAGTAAAACTTTCCTTAAATTCTGCATCTGCATCAATCTTCTCCCATGCATGCAGGGCTGCATCACGGACATGAGCACAAACAGCATGAGGCAAGGTGACTTGCCTTTCTGGGTCGCGCCATTTCTCTTCACCTATTAACATCACATAAGTCAATTTAATCCCTGAAAATCTTTGTCCAGCATGGCCTAGGCTCTGAAGCTTTGCCTTGGCCTCATCACTGAACCACATCCTCCACTGAAGGTACTGAGAAGGGCTTAAGCATGTTATAGCAACCATGTGAAAATTTTGAGGTACCTAGTAAGCCTTACTCCAGTCTGTAAGTTGCTCCCTACAGTATGGAGATGTAGGCCCGTACGAAGCACAGGCCTTTTTGAAACGACCAAGAGAATCCATTCTTACCCTAGGATAAGATGAAGGCTGCTTCTTCTCAGCCTGAACTGGGCGATTGGGAGCAAGTTCCGAGCGGTCTGGAGGCCACTTTGCTGAGCTACTCTCAGACTCATAATCCGAGTAAGTGCAAGCAGACTCATAATCTGCATCACTTTCATCTGATGCATTAGAAGTGGAGCTATATTCATCAGCCTGAGAAATATTTTCACTATGAAAACCCTTTCGAGACTTAGGTATGGGAGGAGCTAAGGCCCTATTATCCCTAATATTCTCCTCCTCCTCAACTGTGCTTTTCCAAAACAGGAGAATAGAATCAACAATCTCCCATGTATTCCAGAATTCAAGGGGGATCTTAGTCCCTTCCTTAGATGCCTTATAGACATTTTTCTTAACTTTTCCCCAAATCTTGGTTTCTAGAGTCCCTTCATCCGGGAACCATGGGTTTACCTCATAAACTAAGGCAGGACCGGAGCTGGCCTCTGGAAATGTATACTTCTGGGTTCCCTGTCTTGGGGAGAGACACTGAATCAAATCCATAAACGTCTTGGCCTGTTCAGTATGGCTGTATACACTATGAAAGATCTTGGGAAGGCGCAGAATCTGTCCCATCTTAGTGGGGGGTTGCTGCTAGGATTTTAACTCCCAGCAAACTAAAAAATCTTATTCTACCACTCACGTTCTACAGTGGGGTGCACCGAATGCAATTCTTACCTTTAATTGGTAGCTCGAGCCCGCCCAAGGGAAGCCAGCTGTAAAAAACTATGCACGCAGAAGGTTGCGTGTTTGCGGACTCTCCAGATGGCTCTATCTCGCAGCCCACATTCGGTGCCCTTGAGCCGCTGTGTGTGGCCTGGATCGGAACAGCTGTTGGCCAAGGGCAGACAAAGGAAGAGACGAGGGCCAGGCCGGTTGATCTTAGTAGCAGTTTATGACAAGGAAGTGCATCCCATAGAAGAAATTTATGTTGCGGAGGGCCTAGGTTCTCTCAAGCACATGTTCCCCTTGCTAGTCTCTCTGTGGTCCCTCTTGCAGTCCTTCTCTCTCTCTCTCTCTCTCTCTCTCTCTCTCTCTCTCTCTCTCTCTCTCTCTCTCTCTCTCCAGATCCCTTCTCTCCAACTCCTGGGCATTCTGGGCTGACACTCCCCCCAGTCAGGTAGCCAAATCAACATAAGAAAGCCCTTCCTGAGGACCCACCTAAAAGGTAATTGTAAAGCCCTTCCTGACTAGCCAAGGGCAAAATACCTCTTTAGGTGTTTTTCTCTTTTCCTCAGTCCAGTAAACTATCAGATATCAACTATTCCTGAGGTTATTCAGGAAGGACAGAACAGTGTTATCCTACACAATATCTTATGTTTTTCTTCTCTGAGAAGTTGTCGTTCTTATATCAAGTAAATATAATATTTTCTACTTATTATCGATTGGGCCAATTTTTATTCTTTCCCCCTGTCCCCAGCAGGTGCATTTTGAGTGTCTGATAGTCTCTTAGCTGATAGATCATATACATGATTATCACATTTTAGGCTTCCCTTTATATTTACAGCAAGGTCAATTTAATTATTAGGACTTTATTAAATTTAAATTTTTATTTGTTAAGGGCTTGCTTTATCTGTCTTATTCTGAATGACAACTCAGGACGATAAAAGGACTCACAGCACTTCATCAGCACTTTTTGTATATTGTGTCACTCTTTTTCACCTGAAGCGGTTCCACTGAGAAATTTCTAAATTACTGTACAGAGTCTCTTGTAAATTATTTTTGTATTTAACCTTTTAGAATATCTCTGCTTGGGGCTGGAGATATAGCACAGCTGGTAGGGTGTTTGCCTTGCACGCGGCTGACCCGGGTTCGATTCCCAGCACCCCTGAGCACCTCCAGGAGTGATTTCTGAGTGCAGAGCCAGGAGTAACCCCAGAACATCGCCGGGTGTAACCGCCCCCAAAAAAGTAAAAAAAAAAAAGAATATCTCTGCTCATGATTTCTTTTTTCCACTGTAGCTTTACCATAGCTCAATAAGATGGGATTTCATGTCTGCAAACTGTCTGGAGCTCCTTGGACAGGATGTTTATTTCCTACCAAAACATTTGATAACAGCTCTTGTATTATGTCTTCTAATTATATTTCTATGACTTGCTCGTAATTCATCCTTGGTTTGTTGGGATCGGGAGTTCCCTAGCCCTGGGAGGCGCGGAGAGACCAGATAGACACAATTCCTGCAGGAGTAAAAACGGGGTTTATTTAGACCAGCATGCTGGGGCTCCGCAGCATACCCTAAAAATGGGCAGTGGCTGAGAGCCCCGAACTTCTTCAAAGGGGATCTTATATAGGCCTTCACTGGCCGTTACAGCAAAGCCCGCACATTTCATAGCCAATAGATTTGTAACAACATATACTTTCTTAACCAATCCATTTAAAAGTACCTCACTCCTTAGCCTATAGATTCAAAGATCAGCATTTACGTACATTGATTGTCAGCACAAGCAAGGTTATAGCTGGAATCATTAAGCCTTAGGTAACCTCCCTTGACCATCCTCGTTTTGAGTTACCCAAGTCTGCAGGGTGCTTTAGTGAGACAATACACTCCAAGAAAGGGCAATTTCCCCCAAACACCGCATCCTGAGTTATCCTTTACCCAAGTCTGCAGGGTGCTTTACTGAGACAATACATGTCAGGAACAGTAAATACACCTGAATCCTGTCACATTTGGTTTAGAAAAGAAGTTATGCCCTGTTCACTTTCCAAGTCCCCTCTCCCCCAGGTGCAAAGCAGCCAAGCAGTTTTACAGAAAGCAATGTTGCAAGTTAGCTAAAGTACACAAAAATTTGATGCCCTAATATGGATTCTTTCAGGTTCCCCATGTAGCTGCATCTTCTTTTGCTTTTTCCCCATAAGAATTTTAGGCAAGTATTCTAAATTTTATTATTTTATATTCTCGATAAACCCTTTGCGTGTTATTCACTGCCCTGGCTCTTTAAATGCTTGCCATTTTCTTGGATTTTTATCTTTTTGATGATAAGTCCTATGCTTGACTATTCCTTTAGTTGTTTCATTGGAGCAGTATTTGGAATTTCCATCAGGAAACAACAGGCCATGCAAGTGTTGAGCAAATTCCAATAGTATTTTATGGATCGAAAGCCTTTATGAAACTGGAATAGGGTTCTTCTTGAATATTATCAGCAAATGGCCCAAAATCTTTTTGGCTTTGACCTCAGGAAAGTGCGCAATACACCTAAGCCTGCTCCTTCTAGAAATGCTGAGAGACTCACGTTTGGGATGAGCATGTGTGGCATCTCCTTGAAAGAGGAAGCCTGAGTTTCTCCCTTGACTACTGCTGCTTGTGTCTCCATTTTACCTGCCACTGAAAATTCCCAGACTCTCGTTCTCTTAGACTAGGTAGTTTATACTTTCTCAAGACCATCAATTCTTTACTAGCTATTGGCATTGCAGAAGACCAAGAGATAACGGACAATATGTAGGGAATTGGCCAAATTAATCATCTAAATGATCCTTAATACATAGAGGGTGTTAGTCTTAACACAGATTAAGGTAACAAGGTAACAAGACATCTATATAAACAAATGAGAATCCTCTTATACTTTGAGAAGGAACACAATGATGCAGTTTACAAATCAAAATCCCCCCAAAGGAGCCATACTTAACTTAGGCCTATACTAAATTCTTCCTCTGTTGGGGTAGTTCTTTCAAATCAACTGACTTTAAAATAGTAATTTTTTCTATTTTCTAACACTTAGTCTGTGCATCTTTGTCACTCAAAATATTCATTCATGAACTTATTGAAGCATGTGGGAGGAGTAGACAAAAACAGACACCCACCTTCACAACTCCTGCCTCATCCTGACTTCCACATCTGAAGCTTTCAGAATCTGGGGACTAGAAACAAGGAGCATAGCAACAGAGGGTACAAGGGGCACCCAGATTCATAGCATCACAAGATCATGTCTCCAAGAAAGGCGTGATGGAAGCACCACTGCATGACACGGGGTGCCACAGAAGGCCCAGGGAAAATCCCTCAAACCTTGGAGTTCCCCAATCCCCTTGATGCCAAAGCAGTCCTAATTCTGTGTCAGAGTGTGTGTAAGAGACTGATGCTGGAGATTGGGAGAAAGATAGTTGGAGCTCTGGACTAAGAGGAATAGCAGGAACCCAGGTCTTTCTCAAACCCACTAATGAGTGTCAGAAATGTAGAAGAGAGGATCTGAGTGTGTGCTTCAGGAAGTCATAGAGAAAATTTTGGACTTGAAGTGGTTAGGACACTCAGAGGAAAGTATTTGAAGGTTCTCGTGCTCTGTGATGACATGAAACCTGATCTTTGTTTCTTTTAGATATGGTTCAAGTGAATCAGTATTAGTAGAAATTTGAGCAGGAAGTTTCCTCAGCTTCAGTTTTTTATTTATATATGACTTTATCATTCATGTTTATATACATACTTAATTCATGGTCACGGTCATGGTCATGGTCCTCCCATTTTTCATCGATTTGCTCGAGCGGGCCCAGTAACGTCTCCATCGTGAGACTTCTTGTTACTGTGTTTGGCATATTGAATACGTCACGGGTAGCTTGCCAGGCTTTGCCATGTGGGTGAGATACTCTAGGTAGCTTGCAGGGTTCTCCGAGAGGGGCGCAGAAATCAAACTCGGGTCGGCCATGTTGGCTGCATGCAAGGCAAACGCCCTACCGCTGTGCTATAGCTCCAGCCCACATACTTAATTCAAAAGAAATAATTGTAGGTTTATTTTTCCATGGAGAAAAGACCATTTTAATTTTGACATGGAAATGGACATTGATATTAGTATTTCTTTTGTATTATCAATAGGTCTCCTACAGGTCACTAGCTATCATTAGGTTGTGGTGTCCCATCACAGTTTCCTATGTCTGTGCAAAACATCTTAAACACAATGGAAAGACAGGCAATAAAATGGATGATAGTGACTGGTGCTTAACTAATTTGTAATATACCCCTGTCATCATAATTCACTAATGAGAGCTTTGGATGAGCAAAAACTTGCAAAAAAGGCTACTCGAGCTCCCCTGCATCTGATGGGCCCTGTCAACCACTGAAAGTGTTCTGTGAGCTCAGAATGTGGAAGTACCTGATTAGTACAGTTGTATGTGAATACAAAAAAATCAAACATAAAGAACAATTCTTCCCAGAAACGGAGCAAATACACCATTTTCAGTCCTACAAATCAACAAACCCATGCCTTAGATAAAGAACTGTTGACTCATAGGCTCATTGTGAAACCAGAGGGTTAGGCTCAGACCATGCAACAAACACTGATATTGCAATAGCAGTATAAGTTGCTCCCCTTCAGAGGGAAAATGACTGAGATAATTGCTCTCATGTGGAATATGAAGAACTACTTTTAAGGAATAAATGCCACATGGTCAATGGTGTCAAACATTGAGAGTCGGCTTGCAGAATGAAAGACCAAGAGCATGAGGTTTGAGATGGTAGAGAGGGGATAAATGAGATACTGGTGGAAAAAAATGACGTTTGGATCACGATACAGTGTTGGAACTTTGAATGGCTAAAGACTTATTACTAGATCTGTAAATCAAAGCACGAGAATAAAGTTTAATGGGTGTGCTAATAATGATTTTAATTTTGATGATTCAAATTCACCAGCTAATACTCTTGGTGAATTTGAGGGTATTTTTGGGCAGTCCAAATTTCTCTGCCCACAATAATCTCATTTTCATTCTAAGAAAAATTATTGTACCTAAATCTCTCCAATATTCAAGACAATAGTGAATGAAATGTATGAGCATACTGTGGTTATCAAAGAAAAAAATTGGCATTATATCGTTGAATTGCTTCCATTCAAAATGAATTGAAGTTTCATAAGAATAGAGGAGCAGTTCATAGAGTCTGCTTTGCCAGCAAGCATGTGGTCATGAGTTCAAATTCCTGGTATTCCACCTGCACGCAATATGATTCTGACACTGCAGCTATTTTAGTTTGAAAACCCTGCTCTCGGTCTGTGATTCTAGGCATCGCCGAATAAAATGAAAGAAGAGTATTCTTTTAATTAATAAAACAAAAGAAAGATTTTCTATATCAAGCAGACTGAATGAAAACGCGGTGAAAGCAATGCAATGTGTCTGAGGGAAGCAGTGGGGTGGCAGTGGGCAGAAACAGCCCTGCCTGAGTCAAGCGTGAGGACGAGAGAGGACAGAGAGGGACGTTGGAATTTTCCACTGTCTGCCCCCCCCCCCCCCCCCAGACCCACTCGGGTTCCAAAAGGCACGAACCGGATGTGACCTCACTTCGCTTCCACCTGAATGGGCGGCCTGCGAATTCCAACAGCTCAGTGTGGGAAGCGGCTTCGGGAGTGCAGTGAGAGGGCCCAGCTCGGCCAGGTACGGAACCCAGGGGTGGACAGGTAGGACCCATCAACACCTCTGAGGGAGTCTGGGCGGGGTTTGGGGTGCGCGTTCCCCGCCGCCGTCCTCAGGACCCGGGAAATTGCTGAGGTCTAAGGGGTGTGGGCCCGGCGCCATCTTCATTCTCGGGATCGGAGCAGACGCAACTCAGGGATCCCGATGGGGACCCGGGACCCGACATCAGGGATAGAATTCAGTTCAGTAAGACAGGGTGAGGAGTTTTTGCACAGATGCTCATCGAAGATATCAGTCTATAATTTTTCTTTACTGCGTGCAATTTGTGGGTGTTCAGAGCTGAGTATATTTCTAGGTTATTCTTGGCTCTATGCTTAGGCAACAGCCCTGGCGAGGTTCCAGGTCTAGATGAGGTGAGCAGATTCACATCTTTTCTGTCACGTGCAAGATAAGACCCTCATATTAGGCAATATTTCCTTGCCTCTTGTCACTTTCTTTCATAGTAACATCTCTAGCTGCCATGGCTATTTGGAAATCCTTGACTTCATAAAAGTTGTTAGGTACAATTCATGTTTATGTGATATTTAGAAGTGCTTGAGGACTATACATGCTAAGACGTGGCATTCTCAATGCAATTCAACTTTGTTCCTGTAGAGATTAAATATTATTGTTTCAGTTTACTTGCTCTTGACTTTTCTGCATAGATTTTCTGTTGCCTCTTTATTCAATTTTAAGAGGATATAACAGTAGAAGAATTGATTCGTTTCTTCTAAGTTTACCAGGTCTATGGTATAGAATTGTTTGTAATGATCACTTAGAAAATGAATTTAAGGGTTTTTTACCTTCTGAGTTTTTGTTTCTATCTCTTCAAATCATATTCGATATATTTGGGTGTTCCCTGATTTTTTTCCTGTGGGTCATACTTAGGATTAGTCTCATTTACTAAGCTCTTCAAACTTCCTAATCCTGTTTTTAATGATTTGTCTGTTTGTTTTCTTTCTTTCTAGATCATTCTTAACTTCTCAGGATTTTATTATTTCCTTTCATGTACTAAGTTTGGGATTCGTTTGTGTTTATTTTCTAGATTGTTTACCATTGGGAGTTTGATTAATCTGATTTTTATATTATCTCCAGTTATACTATCTATATGGCCCCAATGCTAAATTCTCCAGTTATAAATGTCAAAGGATGCTAATTTGCATGAGAATTCACATGCAAATTTTCTGCAGCACATCCTTGGTGCCATCATGATAGTACAGTGAGAGATAGGACATATAGGACAGATTGAGGACATTGTATAAGAAATGAGAATCAGGTCATATTTGAGAGTGTATGCAGGTTGCCCTTACCATTAGTGTGAAAATCTGAGCTAAGACCTACGTGTCTTTAATCTCCTAATATAAAAATTGCTCCCCTGAAGCCCATTGCTGCTATCTGACTTGGAGAATTCACATAGAACAGAGAATAATGTAACAGCCGTGATATCTGAATATAGATTTAAGGGAGTCAAAGAATGGGGATTGCAGCTGGGAGGAGAACCTGCTCGTGGTACAACTCCAGGAAACAACCCTTAGAGAGGAATGAAGGAACCTAGAAAGCAGCATAAGGACATGCTGGGACACTTCGAGGCAGGAGTCATTACCCCTTTGTCTGTTGCCAAACAACCCTTCTTGAAAATTATTTCACATGATACCCATTTTCAGATCTCAAGCACCTGGATATTAGACTCTGCCTGGCTGAACCAAAGTCATGAATGAAATCTACAAGCAGGAATAGTGACAGGTATTACATCTACATTTCTACACTTTGTGTCTGAGGTGTTATATTGATTGAGAAAAGGGTACCACTTTTTTTGTAGGAGTACTGCTACTTCTTCAGCCACTGGTTAGCTGATTGAATTGGGCATGAACTCCATCTTAATTTTTTTAATTTATTTTTTATTTTTATATTTATTTATTGAATCACTGTGGGAAAAGTTACTAAGCTTTCAGGTTTAAGTCTCGGTTATACAATGATCAAACACCTTTCCCTTCACCAGTACTCATTTTTCACCACCAAGAACCCCAGTATATCCCCCTTCCACCCCTCCAAATGCCTGTGAGGCAGATAATTTCTACTTAACTCTTCTCTACATTGATTACATTCATTATTTCAACAAAAGATGCACCATTATTGTTTTAGAATTCCCCCCCAAACAATCAGAATTGCTGAAAAGGCATCGTGAAATATTTTGTTTTCTATAGCTGGTTATGAGAATCATATAATGTCACATAGTCAGGATTTTGGATTTCTGCAAAGAGCCAGATAATTACGAGATTGGTTTCTGTGTCTGGTGTTATGGCCGTGCCGGAGAGCCGCTTGTGGGGGGCAACTCGTGACCTAGGTAGGGTGTGAAGGACGTGCCGGTACTGCCCCCCTTCCCATGAGACTGCAGTTGCCCCTTCACTGCCGGCTCATACCTGGCTTTCCTATGAGCTCTGAGGCAGCGGCCACCTTGCTGACGGGGGGTGGGGGCAAAAGGCGGAAGGGAGCAATACTCTTTCCCTCCTGGGGAGGCATGGCGCCGTAGTATAATGCATGGTCCATTCACTTTTCTTCTGAAACCTGCTGGGCTCTGGACTAAGTCCTTTTGCCTCTGGAGCCATGGCCATGCCAGAGAGCCACTTGTGGGGGGCAGCTCATGACCCCGGTAGGGCATGAAGGACAAGCCGGTACTGTCCCCCTGCCCATGAGACTGCAGTTGCCTCGTCATCGCCGACTCATACCTGGCTTTCCTATAAGCTCTGAGGTAGCGGCCAAGGGGTACCACTTTTGAACAGGAGTAAAGGAGCACCAGAATGTACCAGAATGAAAATCTATAAACTTGCTATGGACAGAGTATAACCCCATGTAACAAATCATGGATTCTCTAGATTCTTGATATCACCTTGCTGCTTGTTCTGGAAGGCTCATTGTAAGCAGTGTCCCTGAGTGACACACTGACAATTGTCTGTGAGGAGGCCTACAGATATATGGGGAGAAAACTCAGGATGTGATGTGGTTCTAAAATGCAGATAGAGAACATGTGTGGCAAACCAAAAATCAAACTACAGTTTCAGTTCATGCCGCAATAGCTATATTTATCCCAAAATATCAATACCATGGATACAAGGAACTGGTCAGGATAGAATAATTCTCTGCAGACTCTTTTGATCATGTAGGAAGAGAGTGTATGTGCACAGGGAAGGGAGGCTGTGTAGAACATTTCTATGGTTCTCTTGTGTCACAGGGAGAAACACAGCTGGATCTCAGAAGACATCTGTCTGTAGAAGGAAATCAGACTACACAAGAGAGTGCCAGTGGTACTGCTGAATCCAGTGAGTATCCAGATAGGATGGAGAGTGCCCCACTATACAAAAAAGTGGTACCCAAAGAAACTTTAACTTCCCCTGTTAAATGACATATTTTTGTCACATATGCATGCAGGTGTGAGGATGGGAAGAACTTGATCTAAGGGTCTTGTTACAAGTCAGTGGCCGCAGGCAAATCAATCTCCCTTTCCAGGATTATAAGGGACCCTGGGCACACTACTAGCAAAGAGATAGTTCCCCACAAAGAACAGAATAAATTGACAGTTACTCCATCAAACACCTTAGAGTTACAACAAACTGATGCTTTGCCATCTATTCTCTTTCAGTCTAAGTGCCATATCCCAAAAACAACCAAATTTTTGGGACTGACTGCACCTTATATTTTGAGCTGGGTAAGTCTCCTTATATTGACTATGCCAAACTTTACCCTTATATTCAATATGCTGAGGACCATTACATTCCACGAGTATGTGCCTTTAAGCTTCAACAAATGCCCTGAAAAGTATATGTAACCAACAAAAAGCAGCATCATAGTTTGCATATCCCTGTACCCTAGTGCACTGAAGACCACCTCCAAAATTCCTCTAACTTTTTAACCTCAGATACAATAGCTGATGCCCTTCTCCAGTTTGCTTTCACTGGTTGTGCCTGTTGCTGTTCTTTTTTTCCTCTTTAATGCACATATTAGTTTGGCTATTGTATATTTGACTTTCATTCTTAGTTAAACTGGGCATGTCTAATTTGACTTCTCATATCCCCTTTCACCCTCAGGCTTCCATCCCATCGACCAGCACCGGTGCACATACCTGCTGTCTGTGTGGCACTTGTCATCATGTCTCACTGTGATGAGATTTTGGCCTTCAAGGTTGGAGAAGAAAATGAGGATGCACAAGATGGACAGCATCTGGAGAGTGGTCAGCTGTCCAAGGCTGAGATGGGGATGGCTGAATTGCCCTCCTCCACCACTGCCTCTTTCCCCTTTGAAGAAATCCCTGGGGAGGTAGCAGCTGCTGGAGTATCCAGTGATGTAAAAGGTCCTCAGTGTAGTCCTGCCATGGCCCAGCACATCATGGTGGCCATGGCTGAAAAGCTAGACAGCCATCCCCAAAGTGGCAATGCCAACAGCCCAAAAGAGAAAGGCCTAAAAGATAGGGAGGAGCCAGCACAAGCTGGGGCCAGCCTCCAGGAAGCATTATATAACAAGATGTCTGATCTGGTGGGGTTCCTGGTCCACAAGTACCGTACTAAGCAGCTGACCACGAAGGACGAGATGTTGAACACCATCCTCAACAATGATGAGGAGAACTTCTCTTACATTCTAAGCCAGGTGTCTGAGTGTGTGCGGGTGCTCTATGGCATTGATGTGAAGGAAGTAGACCCCCAATTCCACATCTATGCTTTGGTCACCACGTTGGGCCTCACTTATGATGGGATGGTGAGCCCTCAGCATACCATGCCCACCACAGGCCTGCTGGTGATAGTCCTGGGGGTCATCCTTCTGGAGGATGATTGTGCCTCTGAGCAGGCTATCTGGGAACAATTAAGTTTGATGGGAGTTTATCCGGAGAGGAAGCACTTCATTTATGGGAAGCCTAGGGAGCTCCTCACCAATGTGTGGGTGCAGGAGCAGTACTTAGATTACCAGAGGGAGCCTGGAAGTTATCCAGCCCGCTATCAGTTCCTCTGGGGCCCCAGGGCCCATGCAGAAACTAACAAGGTGAAAGTCATGGAGTTTTTGCTCAATATCTATAATAGTCCTAATAGGTCCCTCCTGTTCTTAACTGATGGGCATCATTCCAATGATAGGAATGAAGGGGCCTGAGCAAGGATTACAGGGGAATGTAGAGAACAACTAGGTTGAAAGTGTTGGCGATTAGGGCAAGTGAGACACCTATTGGAGAGAATCCGTGGGTTCCTGTTCTCTATGATGACTTATAAATCAATCTTGTTTTTCTTAGGGATCCTATAAAATATTTTGGGTTTTTGTTTTAAGAAAATATGTTTGTCTGAGTTTGTGAATAAATAGATCTCTCATTTTTTTGCTCATGCCATGTTCAAGAGAGAGAGAGTGCTGTTACTGAGTTCAAGAGAGTGTGAAAACTTCTGTATTCTAATGTGAGTTGTCAAAGAAAACTTAGACTTGGAAAAGAAAGTGCCACAAAAATGTGAACAGAAGTTAACAGTGGCAAAACACAACAGAGAGCATTTTCTTTTATTGCTCTTAAGTTCTATAATAAATAAAATTTGTGGTTTGGAGTTTATTGTTCATAGTTTTGCTTCCTATTACAGGTATTCACTGAGCTCTTCTGATGACCATGGGTTACTAGCAGGAGAATGAGGATGAGTGGGATGCAAGGCACACGGAATAAGAGTGATAATGTGGGACCCTGCTCTTTTAAGGAAGAAGGTGTGAGGCTTTGTAAGACACACTAAGCAAACGTTAGAAGGGGAGGGCAGCTGGGCTCCAGGAGGGAGGAATCTCTTGTGGCTACCTTAATCAGGTAATTTTGGGGCCATGGAATAGACCGATCTTTGAGTTGGATGTGATTGGCACTAATCACTAGGGATAATCATGGAGTACGTGTCTTAGTGGTTCAATAATGTCCTGGAATGCATGTGTGACCAGGGATCCTTGGGGACCATGGAGACAATTGAAAAGATCATTGAAAATAGTTGCTCACCTGCAAAAGAAAATTCCAAGGGGGTGAGGAGCTGGTATCCAACTTGGATAGTTCCTGTATCTGATGAACTGTCACTGATATGTTGAATAATCCGCCCACTAGGAGAACATATGCTGAAAAAGATTTATTGATTTTCTTGTCATTTTACCACATAACTGCATGATCCTTGCTGAAGGGACGGAAGGGACCCACATAGCCTAGCTCAGACCCATCACATCCCTGGGGAGTCCAGACCAGGGTGTCAGATGCATGGTCACCTCCCCACCTACTCACAACTCAGGGGTTCTTAAACCTATGTTTGATGGGTGTGTATGTTTCATGGATGCAGACTCTGGACATCATAGTTTCTTCACAGAATCAGAGTAAAGCTCCAGAGGGAGCCCTTAGGAAAGATGTCTCTACCCCACATCATAATGCCTCCTAGTTGATCCCTAGTAGGGTGCCCAGGTCACCATGCCGGGATACGCATGTGTCTCATTGTCAGGAGAATGGTCACATGTTGACAGCAGTGAGAACTGTGTCCTTTGGTCAGCAAGTGGGAACCTTAATAGTAGCATGGACTCTACAACCACTTGTGACCCCTTTGGTACAAATCAGGAGTTCTATTACTTTTGGGGAGGCGTGGGACACATCCAAAGGTGCTCAGGGATTTTTCTGAGTTTTGTGCTCTGGGATCACCGCTGGGTAGGCTCAGGACCCACTTGTGCTGCAGGGGTTGAACGAGATCTGCCAAATGTCAGATCATGTCCACAGAATGAACTCTCTTTCAGGCCATGAGCATCATGGCATCATGTTTTAAAAATGGGAAATAGTTATTAAAGAGCAACAACTTAGGTGTGAATAAAGTGGCTCATTTCTCTTAGCGGTGTTTTGTCTCAATTATTTTAAAACTTACTAACTATGATTTACTTAATAATAGTCCTGGGCATTCAAAGCCTCATTTACAAAGCCACCAATAGTGTCTTATCAGACAACAACCAAAAATTTATATTCTCTACCCACCTGGCCTTTCTTGGTAAACAATTTTGTGTTTGTTGAATTATTTGTTTGTTTTGGTTTCTGCCAACCCTACAGTGCTCAGGGATTAGTCTTTGCTGTATTCTCAGGGTTAATTCTTTTGCTACTCTGGGAACGATACGGGATTAATCCTAGAGTTGCACACAAAGTCAGCGTCCTATCAGCTGTACTGTTCCTGCAGCCTCAACAGTTGTTCGTTAATTAACTTTTTATAATTTGGGTCATGTGCTTAAAATAATGATTTCTCTTATTTCTTTGATGTATACAATGACCTATTGTCTATACCATGAAAATACCAGGGGCACATGAAGATTGCCCCTACGATATTTCCAGGCAGCCTACTAACCTTCTCCCAATTCTCCTCTGGCATTCTATTTTCTCTCACACAGGGAAAAGGACTTGCCATTCTTTGGCAACTTTCATTCCCTTGCTCCTCTCTATGCCACACATAAGTGAGAAAATCTGGTATTTGCCTCTCTCCCTCTGACTTTATTCACTCACCATGATAGCCTCCAGTTCTGTCCAGGTTGCAAGTAAATTGAGTGAGTACTACTTTTCTTATGGCTGCATATTATTTCATTGTGTATATACATAACATTTTAATTTAACTCTTTCAATAACTCTGTATATTACTAATCACCAAAATGAACTTGTTTGTACATGTATGTTTTCTACTTTATGCCTTTGTGTTTGGGGGTTGGAAGCCAGTGAGTGAAACCCCTATGTAATATAGGATCTCTAGTCTTAGGTTTTGGAGAAATCTCTACACTGTTTTACATGTGCTCTGAATCACAATATTTTCATCAGTAGTGAATGAGAGTTTCTTTCTTTTTCGTAACAACATCACAACCCCACTGTCACTGGTTCTTTTCTTTGCTCTGGGTATATGCTATTCTCCCTGGTGTGAGATGATTATTCACTTTTATTTAAATTTGGAATCACAGTCAACAAACATGTCTCTTTGTGGGGGATTTGGGGCCACACTCGAAGGAGCTCAGGATTTGATTCTGGCTCTGTGCTCAGGAATTGCTCCTGCCTATCTTGGGAGAGAGACTATATGGAATGCCAGGGATCATAACCTGATTCTGCTGTGTGCAAGGTAATAGCCCTAACACTGTGCTGTTTCTCAGGTCCCAGCAAAATCTTTTTGGGGCGTGGGAGCCAAAACTGGCCTGGCTCTTCACTCAGGGATCACTGTTGGTGGACTTTGGGGACCAAAAGTAGTGCTAGTGATCTAATCCAGGTCAGCCACATGCAAGGCAAGCACCTTACCCAGAGTACCAATCTCTGCAGCTCAACAAACACTCTTTATATTACTTCTTGCCCATCTGTCATACTCTTTGTGAAAGTGTCACCTCATCTCTTTGTCAATGTATTTCACTTTGTTTTGTGGCCAAACTCAGTAGTGCTCAGGGCTTACTACTTACTCTGCACTCAGGGCTCAAACTTGACAGTTCTCAAGGGACCAAATGTGATGCTGGCGATTGAACTCTGATTGGCTGTGCCAATCAATAGGACTCTACCCACTGTGCTATAACTTCAGCCCAATTTCTTTTTTGTTTTGGGCACTACTCCTGACTCTGTGCTCAGGACCTAATTGTAGGTCTGTGCTCAGAGATAAATTTCTGACTGTGCTCACAGGACCATATGTAGCCATTGAAATGAGTTTCCTTACCTTTATATTAAATCTCAGGCTATCAGTTACCATTTCTTGTTGCAGTTCCTGGAGGTTTTGAGTGTTCTATGTGGCCTGGGAATTAGTGCTTCCCCCCCATGTTTAACTGTTCCTTTTGTCTCTTATTCCACAAGGTGTCTTTATTTTGAAGACTGAGATTCAGTTGCCATGGTAAACCGTTTCATTTTCATGTTTTCTCATTAATTTTCTTATGTTTCTGTGTTGTTTCCTCATGTGATCCATCACTGATAACACATTTGAAGTCAATATTCTGGACATTCTGCCAATTTATGTATCATTCTCAAATACTGACTTTTTTATTTCGCATTTCTTTTTGGTACGAATTGATATACAGTTCCACTTTGATTTTATTGGCCAGTGTTTAACAATTTTTCCAAATGTGTTTATTGAAGAGGCCTTCCTTGCTCCACTTCATGTTTCCAGCTCCTTGTTCATAGATTAACTGCCCGTATATTTGAGGGTTTATCTTTGATCTCTTGGGCTGGAGCAATAGCTCAGCAGGTAGGGCGTTTGCCTTGCACGCAGTCAACATGGCCGACCCGATTTCGATTCCTCTGCCCCTCCGGAGAGCCCGGAAAACTACTGAGAGTAGCTCGCCTATAGGGCAAAGCCTGGCAAGCTACCCATGACGTATTTGATATGCCAAACACAGTAACAACAAAGTCTCACACTGGAGACATCACTGAGCCCGCTCGGGAAAATCGATGAACAACAGGAGGAGAGTGACAGTGACAGTGATCTTTGGTCTCTCAGTTTAAATCCATTGCTCAGAAATTTTAGCATTTTACCAGCAGTATGATTTTTTTTATTTACTATATCTTTCAAGTATAATTTAAAGTTGGGAAATGCAACAGATCTCTATTTGTTTTTCTCAGAATGGCTTTAGCCATTCAGGCCATTTTATCATTTGTAAACATTTTAATTATTGCGTCTTTTAAATTCTTGTGTAATAGAAATTTTCATGGAGATTCTAATGAATGAGTATAATATTTTGGTTAGGGTGGTCATTTTCACAATATTAATTCTTTCAACCCATGATCATGGAATGTGTTTCTATTTCCTAGTGTCCTCTTTTTATAAATCTCATTAAGTGACCTATGGTTTGCAAACTATTACTTTTTCATAATTCTAAGTAGGTTCCTAGGTAGAAGAGGTTTCTTCACACTATTTTGATTGGGATAAGTTAAATAAACTCTATCTTCTTTTTTTAAAATTTTTATTAGTGAAACACCATGAGGTACAGTTGTAGACTTACAAATTTTTGTGCTTGGGTTTCAGTTATACAATGATTGAGTACCCATCCCTCCACCAGTTCCCATTCCTCACCTGCAATGCTCCCAGCATCCCTCCCACCCCCACCCCCCATCCCACCGCACCCCTGTGGCAGGGCATTCCCTTTTGTTCTCTCTCTCCTTTTGGGTGCTGTGG